GTCTTTCACACGCAGTTTTCCCAAGCCATATGTGGTTTGCAAGTTATCTGCATTATTCTGGTATGTACTACTGATCCTTACTAAGTTTGAGAGAAACCTGTCTCATGTGCATCCCATGCAGCTCAGACCTTGGTATCAACCTCAAAATCTGTGCACTTCTTGCTGGTTTAAAAAAGAAGATAAAGATTTGGTAATTAGGAATGTGTGTGTTCCAGTTCCCTCTCTACAACAGAAACATGACTCATTCTCTTGGATGTTACCCTTAGGAAAAGCAAGCTGCATTTTTCAGACCACTGCCATCCATACCTCCACCCCATGACAGCTGCTTACCTTGTTTTAGAGCAGTTTGCTGGAGCTTTAGCCCAGTGTTCAGAAACCTTCCCGTCATGGGAGAGAATGAGCCTATGTGTTGCATCGTGGTTTGAGCACTGCACCTCATTCCTCTGCAACTGTGTGTGCTCTGCAGAACACAGACAGACAGACATGGCGGTCACGCTAAGGCAGCAGGCATCTTAACCACCTCGGCCCCCTCCCCAAGACCTCTCTGTGTTACTGTTTTCAGCAACAGCCTCTGCTTCTCAGGAAAAAGTCAAACAAGTGTGTATGACTTATTTTCTCAGGCTCCTTAAGGTTTCAGTGTCCTACCTACCCACTGCTTGATTTCATGCTGGATGACTCTCCTGGCTACCACTACAAGACCTTTCCCCATCTCTCAGGCTGCTGTGCCACCAGCTCCCAAGACAACCAGTGAAATCAGTCAGCACAAGCAGAGTCTGTTATTTTTGCACATCTATTGAGAGTATCTGGGGGGAAACAAAACACTTCCTGAGGCATCTGACCACCCCAGATTTGTCACCTCCTTGGGGATGGGATGCCTCAAGTCAAACGTTTTACATGACATTGGAGAAGCAACGACAAAAAAATCACACATTGCCTATTTAGAGCAGAAGGAAGTCCCTCCTTGTCTACAGCTGAGGGGCTGCGGATGCTTTCCTGACCCCGAGGCACCTGTTCTACTCAGTTACTTGCATGTAGCCCTGCAGCAGCATAAGTGTCTGAGACTCAGGATGTCCATGCGTGAAAGGTGGTCACTGGCAAAGCCTGTCCTGATTTCCCTAACACCTCTGGAGACTCACTGCTCACCCTCCTCACACTTCCAACATGGAACTAGAGAGGAAAATTCCTGTCTATTCCCCGGCATGGTGTTCCTCCTTCCAGCCCCCCCCCGCTCTGAGTGCTGCGCACTGGGAAATGTTTAAGCCCCTTACGCAGAGGCTCCTTCTTCCCAAGGGGCCGCACAGCAGATTATTCCAACTTCAGCGCGCTGACCCATCCCGGGGGGTCTCACCCCTCCCGCCCTCGCCGCTCCCGCCGGTCGGTACCTCCCGAGCCGCTCTGCCGGCCCCGCCGCTGCTCCCGCCGACGTCCCCCCGCCATCCCTCGGCCGCCGGCCGCCCGGCAGCTTGGGAGCGCCCGGGACAGCGCCGGGAACGCCCCGGCGGGGAAATGGAAACCGAAACTCGGCAGGGGCTGCGGCAGCGGGAGGAGGAGCGGGAGGGATCCCCGGCACCGCAGAGTCCAGAGCGGGGAAGCTCTGACCCCTGCGCTGGAAAGGCTTGAGCTGCTGGGCTCCGGTGGGCTCCTGGCTCTCCTCAGCCTGCGGAGGCGGCTGCTGCCCGGGTGGGAGGAGAGGGGAAACCAGAAGGCGAGTGGGGTCTTCTATGTGGAAAAGGCACCCGTTTGACTTAATTATTCAGTTCGAAGAGCGACCCGCCCGTGTCCATCCTGTAAAGAGCCGACAGATCTACTTTGCTGCTCAACTGTATCCCGAGTAAGAGCCCGCGCAAATCCAGAGGAGTTGCTCGGCTGGGAGAAGTCTAACCGCAAGCGAAACGCTCGATTTGGAAATACACCAACATCTAAAAGCTGTCTGCTTCCATTCTCACACAGTCTCTCCTTTCGTCTGCTTAATCTCCCCCTGCCTTCAAAGACCCTGGAAACTTCTCCCCCACCAGGAAAGGCCACCCAGCCCGCCCCACCTCCCACACTGTCTCACTGGAGTGATGAATGCAGGACCATCTTGGTGATGAAATAAGGGATACCAATGTGAATGATGAAACGGATCCAAACACGTAAGAGCATTTTTGTTGTATTCCTAATAGCTGCCACTGATAAATTAAATTAAATCTGCTTAAGAAAAGTTTGTGCTGCTGAATACTAAGCACGGATTTTGGTGGGGAACTCTACAAAAGTCGCAAGAAGCACAACGCAAATCTACAGACTATTACTGGCCCTCACTGAAACACAGTGGAAAATTCATTATTGAGACAGCAGGAGCATCTAATGTGATGTATTTAAGTGGAGCAGCCTGTGGTGCACAAAAAGGCACACGGAGGTCCCTGGGGTGAAGAAAAAGGGATGTGGAAGAGCTGCAGAGGAGCCGTAGAAGCAAAGCAAGGTGAGCTTTGCTCACAGTAATTGACTTCTGCCCAGGCAGGAGCAACCCAGCCTTGTTTCTCCCAGCCTCTTAAGTACAGGCAGTATGTGCATCTTATCTCCTTCCACAGTACATATGAAGGTCTTGAGATAGAGAAATACCGAGCTTAGAGCGGTGATGCCAAAGCACGAACTCCGAAGGGACACTAGAGGTCCTTCTGCACCAAAGTATGAACTAAGGCCTCCTCCCCGGGAAGAAAAACTGCTCCAAGCAGAGGCAAGGGCATTGCCTACATGGAAAGGAAGAGGTTCGAGGGGAGGAGAGTAAAGGGAATGTGTCGACGTCCTTCCTCCTTTCGGAGGTACATTTTTCCTCCTACTGAGTGGAATGCTGACAGCGCAATGTCAGAAAAGCTTGCTCTGGTAAACTACTGCAGATTAATTAAACACCCTGCCATTCTCTGCTCAAGAGTATCAGGGCTTGTGATACTCTAACCAACAGGAATCTGGGGGTCCATGAGGGAGATGCCTGGCAGGTGGCAGGAGATAGAGGAAAGAGGTGAACTGTGCAAAATGTTTTTTGTAACTAGAACTGGATTGGGCGGATGTGTCCCTCTGTACATTTTACCCCCTTTTCATCACTTCTCTAGTGAATTGCCCATAAAAACCAAACTGAAGCAAAACACAACACAGCACAACAACAACAAAATGTGTCAAACTCCTCGAGTTTGGTGTACTGCTTGCTTATGAGGGCAGCCCTTCTCCCAGGAGAACAGCGCGGAGCACTTTCAGAGAGGAATGGAGAAATCCAAGAACATGTATGCAGATACCATGGTCCCTGGAGAAACAGAGGAATGTCTCATGCTGGGCCCCCATGGAGCCAAGGAAGCACACAGTGGGAGCCTGTTCCCACAGTGTCAGCATCTGAACAGGCATGAGTGGGTCAATCCCTCCAGAGCAAATTTGGGAACACAGGGAACTTGCAGCCCCTCTCAGCCGGCTAGAGTCACAGCTCCAGCTGCTGTCTGCATGGGAAGGGACACGTTGACCTGGGGGCCACCCAGCAGGGCTCAGCTGCTGGCAACCCATACAGGGCAGTGCTGCATCCCTCAGTTTCACAGCGAGGGACACCAACTACCTCTGTCTTTCTCCACCCTGGAGTGCCAAAGCAGCACCTGTCACACAGGCCCTGGCAGAACCAAGGCTGAGCATCGTCTCGTCCTGGACTGTCCTGCAGGAGATGCAGCTCCTACAGTCACAGGCAGGCCCGAGGGCGGGGAATGAGTGCAAGGGCAGAGAGAGCACCCTGTGCTGCCTTGCTGCCCCCGCATGAGGGGTTTATCAGCAGGTGGCACTTTTGGTTTGGCACTTTGAGGGCACTGTTTTGACAGAGCATTGCCCAGCACTGTTTGAGGAATATTCCCAGTGGCAACAGCGCCCTGCCCTCAGGAACCCTTCAGCAGCCATCCTGGGGCAGGAGCCACAAGCTAAGGTAAGCTTAAGGCAAGCAGCAGCAGGCAACAATGTTGTCCCCAGTATGTACAAGAGAAACCGGACAACTCTCTTTTTCTTCATCTCCTGCAGGAACCCAATGGGTTCACCAGGGCCTCTCCACCCCCCCGCAGCTGATGGCTGTGAGCCAAGCATGGGTGGGTGGCAAGAATCATAGAATCATCAAGGTTGAAAGAGACCTTTAAGATCATTAAGTCCAACCATCCACCCAGCACTACCACTGGTAACCCCTAAACCACTAAACCATTTCAACCAGTGAGATCCAAACACCTCTTAAACACCTCCAGGGATGGTGACTCTACCACCTCCCTGGGCAACCTATTGCAATGCCTGACCACTCTAACAGTGAAAAATTTTTTCCTACTATCACATCGGAATCTCCCCTGTCTCAGCTTAAGGGTATTTCCTTTGGTCCTATCACTGCAGCTATGGTAAAAGATACCGGCCCCCACCTCACTACAACCTCTTTTCAGATTGTTGTAGAGAGCAAGGAGGTTTCCCCTGTGTCTCCTCAAGAGTAAGCAAACCCAGCTCCCTCAGCTGTTCTTCATAAGACACATTTTCTAGACCTTTCACGAGCCTTGTTGCCCTTTGCTGGACATGTTCCAGCACCTGAATGTCCTTTTTGAAATCAGGGGCCCAGAACTGAATGCAGTACTTGAGGTGCGGTCTCACCAATGCCGAGTACAGGATGATCATTTCCGTGGTCCTGCTGGCCACACCATTGCTGATATAGGCCAGGATGCCATCGGCCTTCTTGGCCACCTGGGCACACTGGTGGCTCACGTTGGGCCGGCTGTCAGCCATCACCCCTGAGTCCCTTTCTGCGGAAAGAAGAAGCGAGGGGCCAGACGCGACGCCAGAGCCGAGTGCAGGGCAGCCGGGAGGGGCAGCGCAGGGGGGGGCCGGGCCGGCGGCGCGGAGGGTCCTGCGGCCGCGGGAGGGCGGCGGCGCCCCGCTGCCGGGGCCGTGGCCGTGGCCGTGGCCGGGGCGGCGCCGCCGGGGAGGGGTTTTCCCCTTCGGCGCCGGCTAAAGCGGGTGCCGGGGGCGGGCGGCGCCGTGCCGCCATGCCGCCCTCCGCGATGCTGCTGCTGCTGCTGCCGCTGCCGCTGCTGGCGGCGCTGGCGGTGCCCGCCCCGGCGGGGGTGGCGGCGGGGGGCTGCGGGCCCTGCGATCCGGCGCGATGCCCGGCGCTGCCGGCGCGGGGGTGCCCGCTGGGCCGGGTGCGGGACGCCTGCGGGTGCTGCTGGCAGTGCGGGCGCGGCGAGGGCGAGGCGTGCGGGGCCGGCGGCGGCGCCGCGGGAGGACGCTGCGCTCCGGGACTCGAGTGCGTGAAGAGCCGGCAGCGCCGCAAGGCGAAGAGCGGCCCGGGGCTCCCCGCCTCCGGCCCGCCCGGCGTGTGCCTCTGCAAGAGCCGCTACCCGGTGTGCGGCAGCGACGGGCTCACCTACGGCAGCGGCTGCCAGCTCCGCGCCGCCAGCCTGCGCGCACAGAGCCGCGGGGAGCCCGCCATCAGCCAGCGCAGCAAGGGAGCCTGCGAGCAAGGTGCGGGGAAGGGAGAGGGGTGCGGGAGGGGGGGATGTCCGCTCCGCCGCCCGGCTGCACGGGGAAAAAGCTGCGCCTCCCGAGTGCTCCTCCTTGCTGTTTGGTCCCATCGGGGTGCTCTTTTGTAGAGTGAAGTTGAGTTCAGACCCACCTTAAATGGACCGGAGAGTCCCAGTCGGGTGGCGCTGCCTAAACTTGGAGTGACACTTCAGACCAGCCACAGAAGTGCAAAGGAACTTGGGCACTCGCTGTTGGCTTCCAGCGGCGCTGGAACTACGCGGCCCCGCTTTTCGTACTTTGCCTTGCAGGTTGCAATTTGCGCTCCTGTGAGATGGGACAAAAGGGTTGAGCTTATCCAGGGGAGAGTTCTGACCAGGAAGGTTGCAACCTGCGAGGAAAGGAAATGATAAAATGGATGTGAAAGCAACAGAAATTCACTGGCTTGTGTTGGTTCAAAATGAAAACAAGCAGTGACTTTCCTGTGAGCTGCATGCAGTGGTTTGCACTTGAAACATTTCCAGCCAGGAGCTTGATTCATCCTAAGCTTTTTCTTAGGGATGGTGCTCAAGGAAGAAATTGTTCTGCTGCAAAGCCTCTACTAGAAATTATGGCTTCTGAGAGTGCATTTGGCTGGGAGGGAGGGAGGGAAGGAGGGATGGGATATATCAGGCAAACCATATACTGAACGTCTCAAGGACAGTATTGCAGCGCCAGTGCTGTTTTGGTGGAGGAGTGTTTTCATAAACACAGTATGTGCAGGTCACAACCTCCACCTCCTCCTTTGCTTTCTTCCCATAACTGAGGCCAAGTATGTTTGCAAAAAAATGTTTCCGAAACTCCTAAGGAAGGCATGAAAGGCTGGGTAAGGATTAGGTTATGTGCTTTGATGTTGCCCATTAAATGGCCTGTGTGGCCTTTCACAAACCTTGTGCAAAACATCAGGCTTACATATTAGCCAGAAACACTGTGGTATAGTGTTAACTCCTGAAGGGAAGGAGTTTCAGCCCTCAGGGTAATGTGGGGTGAGATGAGAAAGGTCTCAGTCCATGCCTCTGTCTGCTATTTGGAAGGAGCCTTTCCTGCCCAGCAGACTCAGGAGATGGTCACAGCAGTCCTAAAAAGCAGTCCTAAAGATCTTTGCTACTTGGTCCTGCCGGCCCAGACAAGTGAGCAGATGGGTTTGAAAGATTCTGAGGTCATGCTTCAGGTGTATACTTGAGAAGAAGGCTGTGTTCTCACTTGTCTTGCCCAAAGTCACCTGGGAGTTTGTTGTAGAACAGGTATGGATATTCTTAAGATACTGTCCCAACCCTTGGCTTCACTTCCCTGTGTTTATCTGCATTAACTTGGTGGGGCTTGGAGACAGAGTTTGATGAGGTCAGTGCAAACATGAGCCGCTGGGCAGAGGATGGTGGGAGGCCACTGACATGCCAGCCTCAAACAGGCTGTTGTTTAAGAACGTCACTGGAGTATGTGGTGCTGAGCCACTGGCAAAATGTGCCCTCCTCCATCACTCTGGGGAGCTGCTCTTCTTTTGGCTCCTGCTGCTGGGAGAGCTCTGACCCAGCATTTTGGGGAAGGGAGCAGGATGGATGTGGGCTGCTCAGCACTGGTGATGCAACCAATTCTTCTGAGATTTCCCTTGGCTGCATGAACCTTTCTTGTGCCATGGACCACCTTCTGGTGATATGTGTTGCTCTGTGACTTGCAACAGAAGCAAGGACTAATCCCACACACGTGGTAGACATCTGGAAGTATTTCTGTAGCCCTAAGGGCCTCCTGGCAGTTAGGACTGTTGGGTGGGAAGGGGTGGGAAGTTGTAATCTCTATACAGATTTTGAAACAATGACAGGAGAGAACATCCATCCAATCATCCCCACAGGGTGTAGAGCCTTTTCCAGTATCCTTCTAGATAGGAGACAGCAGTTTTCTGGGTTTCTAGAAGAACCTGGATGCTGTGGGAGTTCTAGCTTTTGCTATTTCCCACCACAAATGGATATGATCTCCTTAAGGCACTATCTAAGCTGGAATCCTGCACAGGGAGACCACAAACAGGCAGGATCCTGCTTGCATCAGTCATTTGTGTGAAATCTTTTGCACAGAAAGAAGTTCTTGGGTGACAGGGCACTTGGGCTTCCTGCTTATGGCAGATTGGCTCTGAAATGTCTGCTTTCCCTCATTGGACTATAAGGACCACATCCTTTGGGTCCAAGAGTGAGCAGCCTTTCAAGAGAATCTCTGAGAAGAGATCCAGAAAAATATGTTTCCAGCAGTGGATCATAACTGTGTTTGATTGCCCTTTTTGGCAGGGGGGAGTGGTTTTTGGGGTTTTTTTTGTTGTTCCTGGAGAGGGAGGGCTTGTTTTGCACGTCCAATTGGATGTTTCTTTTGTTTTTAAATAGCAAAAGAAATGAGCCCATTCTTGGCCCTGCATAATTCGCCTTGACCTTGTCCTTGGTTGTTTCCCAGACTTCTCAGATGTGATGTCTGTGTTCTTTGTACAAAAATCGTGAAGCCATGCAGAAAAAGGTATTTCCGCTGCAGCCAAAACTTCCTGCTGGAGGGCAAAGGAAGACACAGTTGAGAAGAATTTGAAAGGACGGAAATAACCCTTGATATATGTGCACTTGCAGGTGCAGGGATCCAGTCAATCCTTTATGGAGTGGGTTGCATGTGGGCAGGACTGTTGGGGATGTCTGGAAAAAGGCATCCTACTTGATTGCCAACTCCTTGAAGCTGCCTGGCTGCCATAGTGCTGTGCCAGCAGGGTACAGCAAAGCTGCCTGCTTTTTTGCTCTGGGGGAGCAAGCAGTGATGCCAGGGTGCTCTCTCCTGGCTGAGCTCCTACTTTGCTCTCACACTTGCACTCACAGCTGACTCTGGGTTTGCCCTGCTCCCTGTTAGGGAGCCACTACCTGCATCCTGTCTCTACCCGTGTGCCCCAGCAGCCTCTTTGTAGCTAATCCCAGGGCTGAGGATGCAGGAGATGGATGCTGTGAAGTTTTCCATCTGTTTTCCAACATTGCCTTTAAATGGATTGTCCCTTTGCTCTCTGCCTGTGAAAATGCAGCCACACTTAAGTCTGCTGCCAGGTCCTGCAGGTAGGGCAGGTCCAGATGCAGAGCCTGGTACAGGGATGCCTCCTCTGGTGGACCCTTGGCAGGATGGGAGGCTGCTCTGACAGCTGGGGAGCTGCCCTCTGTTGCTGCTGTCACACAGCTGTGCACAGATGTTCAGAAGAGCCTCTTTATGGAGTTGGTGGCTTCAGGAATGCAGGCTGAAATTCATTTTGCACACAGTGCACACACTGAGGCTGTTTACTGCCAGCTAGGACCTGGGGCAGGAGGACTGTGGTACCCACTGCCCTCCAAAGCCAGCTAGCAAAAAGAATTAGGGTTGCATGGCTCAGCTCAAGCCAGGCAGAAAAACAACCTCAAAGCATCAACCCCCATCAAAAAAGCTATCCGGATTTCTGGCACGACGATCTCTCTGAGCTGAAAAATACCAGGCACGAACTTGTTGCCTAACCAGTGCAAGAAGGGACAAATACCCCCGAGTCTCTGTTATCATTAGCTACCAGCAAATACCTGCTTTGAGAGACATGTTGTAACTGCTGGAAATACTGGTGAAGTTGCCTCATTACAGGCAAAGGCCTAATGATTTGAAGTCCCCGATACTGGTTCCAGCAGGGTCGGGGTCTTCTGGTGCTTTTGCTGTTGTCGGTCAAGGATTTGTCTGTGTGTTGTGCTCACTTCTCTCCTAGTGGAAGCCAAGTGCCCGTCCTTGCCCAGTCAGCGTACCACAAAGCGGCTCTCAGCAGACATCAGAGACAGTGTTTCACTCTCCAGGGAACTGGTGCTGCTTTGTACCTACCTACAAAGACCTCCTGGAGGTGGAAACTGAGGGCCTCTCTCTGTGAAGGGTAAATTTGCTGGCTTGCCAAGCAGTCTGCTTTATTTCTGTTGATCTGAATGTGGTTTAAAGCTCCACAGCTCCATGAAAGTCTTTTCCCAGCACTGGAAATGTGCAGTGGTTTTTCTTATGGAGATGAGGGCTCAGCACCTTGCAGCATCCATCCCACAGGCTGCAGAGCTTATGAACAGCAGAACCAGGAGAGATTCTTTTAAAGCTGACTGTAACCAGGACTAAACTTGCCTAAATCTCACCAGCAAGGAGATAGATCCCAGTCACTGGAGCTGTGCGCTCCCTCCAGAGAGGTATCATTTCGGCTTCTCAGAAGCCCAGGCAGCATCTCTCCTGGAAGGTTCTTTTTTTTGGTAAGGTGCCACCCACCAGCTCTGGGGCTCAGGAAAATCTGGGTGTGAGGTTCTTGGCTGTCCACAAGGCTTAAAAAACAGATTGATGGATGTAGGATTGTGACTGCCAGGCTCTCATGGAGACTGACTGCCCCAGGGACAAGTAACACCAACACCCTGCCCCCAAATTCCTGTCACTTTACCCCATCAGTGGTTTTACTTTGCTGATGCTCCAGTGTATTATAAAGCTACATCTGCACTGCAAGCAAAGAGGTGCCAAGTTCCCACAGGTCAACTTCAAAACAAGAAACATAGATCGCATCTGTTGGGTCATTCCATCCAAATTCAGCTGTTGAGGTTTTGCCAGAAATATCTTAGTTTTGAGGGTGGTTTGTTTTATTTTTTTAATCCACTAACAGGGTAGAGCAAAAACAGGGGTTTGGGAAAAAACCCTGTGGGAGATGGCAGACTGCTCTTATCACTGACATTGGCTCATCTTCTCCTGATACACCTGCCTTAAAATCAAAGGCTCTTAACTCTTTTAGACACCACAAAGCCTAGTTCATACCTAATCACATTTTGCAAGAAACTCTTCCAGATTTGTTAACAAATGGCTTAGATTGCCCTAGTTCTTTCCTCCTGTTCATCCTTTCCTGGATTTTAAGGGACTTAAAAGAATCTCCACATTTTATACATGGTTTTGTCTTTGCTGGTGAAAGACAAGTTTTTTCTAAGTCATCTGTA